TGCCTTCCACCTTCAGATTCTCAACCGGTTCCTCCCTGTGAGTCAGAATCAAATCTAAAATAGTGCTCCCCGGGTACATCCTCCACCTTCTGAAACAATACATTGACAGCTGTGTTTAATTTAATCGGAGGAGTGGTGTTTCATGCTTAAAAACAATTTTAAGGATGTCTGAGAAACATGACGGGAGCTTTAGATCCTGTGTAGAAGACTGGGGGCACCAGTACCGGAAGTGTGGCCCTGTTCCCTGCTCCTCTTCTTCTCCCCAATGATCCGCCCCCTGGCTAGACCGGAAGCCCAGAGCCGGGTCATGGTAAGAGCCGCTCAGGGAGCCCAGGCAGCTGTGGGGAACTCTGGATCCTCCACCTGCCTTGCGTGCAGGGCCAGGATACCCGAGAGCAGCCCCTGGCCATGTCCCCACCCCCCCGGGCATGCCGCCCAGGGCAGATGGAGGGTCCGGGGCTCCTTACCATGGCTTGGCTCCGTCTTCCGGCCTGGCCAGGGGTGGGGCCTCGGGGAGAAGAGGAGGAGCAGGGGGCAGGACTCTGTGTCTAACTTAAGGCCCATCTCAGCCCCCACTGGGAAAAGGGAGGTGCTTTGTGGGGGGGGGAGCTGATCTCCCTGCTGCGAAGTGCAGCCCCTACTGCTCCGTACCTGTCCGAGGCTAGGAGGGACAGGCGCCCTCAGGGGAGCAGACAGATCTGTCACTGAGCAGTGGCCTATGTGAGTTAAGCTGCAGTCCAGTTACCACATGTCCACATCTCAAAATCCCGCCATTAGCTAACTGGGTCCCTCGGGAGTCTGCATTTAAGGGGGATCCTTTGTTCAGGTAAAATGCACGTTACCATCTACCTTAAAATGGGTTGGTTGGTCCCCTGAGGTCACAGGGCAGTTGCCTCGTTGCATTTCTCCATCCAAGCGGGACATTGTGCCGTGTTTTATTACGGCTCGAGGACACAAGTGTCATGTTGTCCTGGGAGACAAACTGCTTGGAATGTCTCCTGCTCTATAACAGGGTGAGGCCACCTCCTGTGCACCCCCTTGTGGCCACTGGCCGCTCAGGGGCAACGTGCCTCCATTGCCATCTTCCTCAGGCCCTCAAACTCCACCCGCTGGGTCTGTGCTGGAGATGTGGCTTAGCCTTCTGGCCAAGCCACAAACAAACAAGTCCAACTGAAAAGTCCCAGCAAACAAAGGGTTCTTCTGCCCCTCCTGGGCTTTTCTTCAGTCTGCCCTCTGGGCCCTGTTCTTAATCCCTTTCTGGGCTAGCTTTGAGTCTTCTCCCTGCTCCAGTATAGAGCTCTCAGCCCCCAGCCTAGCTCCACTGGCATCCTGTCTGCAGACGCTGGCTCCGGGCCTTCTCCAGCGGGGTCGGGCAGCCAGCCCACTTCCTGTGATTCCTCTCCCAGCCTGAGCTCTCTCAGGCCTTGTACAAGGCCCAGGTGTCCATTAAAACATCAGAGGACCCCTCTAGTCCCACCCCCTCAGGCTGGGAAGCAGCTAACTAATTATGGGTATGTCTACACTGCAGCTGGGAGCGTGCCTCCCGGCCTGGGGAAACAGACTCATGCTAGCTCTGCTCAAAGTAGTGGCTAAAAAGAGCAGTGTGGACTCGGCGGCATGGATGGCGGCCACCCAAGCTCGGACCCTGGGGGTCTTGGACACCAGTGGCTAGTCTGAGCTGCCGCCTGTGCAGCAGCAGCCACATGGCTATTTTTAGCATGCTCGCACAACTAGAGGAAGAAGTATGGTATAGCAGAGAAAGTAGCATAACATTTTACAGAAAGGGAAACTGAGGCACCAAGCGACTAAGGCCAAAATATTCCAACTTGGGTAGCTAAAGTAGACCCCTGTATCCATATTAAAGCACTTAAATAAGTAGCCTCATTTGCAGACAGGCCGAGTACCCAGCAACTCCCCCTGAAATCAATCAAATACAATCTAGATCAGGGGTAGGCAACCTATGGCACGCTTGCCAAAGGCGGCACACGAGCTGATTTTCAGTGGCACTCACACTGCCCGGGTCCTGGCCACCAGTCCGGGGGGCTCTGCATTTTAAATTAACTTTAAATGAAGCTTCTTAACCATTTTAAAAACCTTATTTACTTTACATACAACAATAGTTTAGTTATATATTACAGACTTATAGAAAGAGACCTTCTAAAAACAGTAAAATGTATCACTGGCACGTGAAACCTTAAATTAGAGTGAATAAAAGAAGACTCGGCACACCATTTCTGAAAGGTTGCCGACCCCCAATGTAGTTCCATACCATTCAGCACCCAGGTTTGAAAGGTTTGGCCTAGCTGATCTACCCAGTGAGTCAATTACAGAGCTAGGAATGAAACCAAGCTCTCCTGATTCCCAGCTCTGGATTTCATCACCAACACCCTCCTCCCTGCCCCCTTCAGACAGATGTCGTGTCTGAAGACTGCACAGTGTGTTCCTCTGTTGCTAGATAATCTCACCCACTAGCCTCTCCCACTGCTGAGGGCTCCGGGGCTGACACTTCTGAATCACATGCTCTCTGCAGGTACTCACCTGGCCCCCAGCACCTGAACACCTCACGCTCTGTAATGTATTTATCCTCACAGCCCCTGGGAAGGTCAGGATGTGCTACTAGAATTGTTGTACAGATGAGGAACTCAGGCCTGCCTGGAGGGGTTGGGTTTCTGTCCAGGAATCGGGCTTGGTTACTTCACGGCAGGAATCAGTCTCATGGCAGGAATTGGGCTCACCTTCTCTGTGGCCGGTGTCAGGGTCCTGAGTCCCAAAGGGATCCTGGCTTTTCTGGCCTCCTCGTTCTCATCTTCCGATGAGTTTTGCTGGTCATCCTCAGGGAGCTGGGAGGGAGCGGGAAGCAGGGTCCACAGCCTTCCTGGGTTGGGTGATAGACAGTACAATTGTGCAAAATTCTGCACAACTGGTTGAAAGACCGTACTCATAGAATTGTTACCAATGGTTCACTGTCAAACTGAGAGGACGTCTCTAGTGGGGTCTGTCCTGGGTCCGGTACTAGTCAATATTTTCATTAATGACTTGGATAATGGAGTGGGGAGTATGCTTATGAAATTTGCAGATGGCACCAAACTGGGAGGGGTTGCAAGCACTTTGGAGGACAGGATTAGAATTCAAAGTGACCTTGAAAAATTGGAGAATTGGTCTAAATTCAACAAGATGAAATTTAATAAAGACAAGTGCAAAGTACTTCACTTAGGAAGGAAAAATCAAATGCACAGCCACCTCTGCAGCTGGTAGCTCCGGGGGGGATTTAAAAGGCCCTGGGCTCCCAGCCGCCGCTACCGCAGCCGGAGCCCCGGGCCCTTTAAATCTTAAATATTAATGACCCAGATCCTGAACTGTGCTTTGGATGTTTGCTTCTGGGGCTGTTTTAGTTCAGCTAGCCATGGCCCCAAGGGGCCAGTCCAGTAGCCGGGGGTCAGCATAACACAGGGATGCCTGTGCCACCCCCCGTTTTCTTGGCCATGTTCTCTGCTAAGATGGTGGCATGTAAGAATCATTATGGTGGCTCTATGCCCCCCCAAGCTGCCCCCCTTATACAGGGCTTCAGAAGCCATCGTTAACCCCTTCTGGCATCCCCCTGAGGTGAGAGGCCGGCGAAATTCGCTCCATTTCTCAGGGGGAGGAAGTGAGGCACACAGAGCTTAAGTGATGGGCCCAAGGCTGCACAGCGTTGTGTGGCAGAGCCAGGATCAGGAGCCGGCTTAGCTCCCAGCCCCATGCTCAGGACACACCTCTCTCTGATTGACCCCCCAACGACATGACATTGAGCTCCAGCTCCTGACACACACACCATTTCTGGGCCCAGGGGCTGCTTTCTGCCGCAGCTGGGGAGGTGTGACGTTCCCATCGCGTGCATACGGGGCTTTGGGACTGATGCCACCTACTGTGAGAGCCCCAGACCTGGCCCCACCAGGACAGAGAGGCCTGGCTTGGCTTCATGGAGGGGTGTCAGGGCCTGGGAACGCCGTAGGGTTTACCTGAGAGTAGTGTGGGACCCAGAAGTCTGTTGGCAGGAGCCCAGCTTCATCGCTGTCCTGGTGCTCCAGGCCCAAGATCCAGGCTACCCCAGAACCGGGTGATCATCGGGGACCCTAGAAATCCGTTTGCCACGGGGAAAAAGGCGGAATCTGCATTTTGACAGAGAATCTTTAGTTTTTACATTGTGTAAAAAAAGAAAAGCCGGTGTGAAGGAGTCACTAGTTTTTACTGACAGCACCAGTGTCACCGGCTGAGTGCACCTCCCCCGTCTGGGGTTGATTTTTGAAGGCGCTTTAAATGTACAGCAGAGCCCCGTTTATCCACTCGAACCGGGCCCCGCTGGAGAACCCAAACTTGGGCGAATCAGGGGAGCTGGCAAAGAGCTTTCAACCCTTTGTTTTCTGATGGGGTTGGGGCTGACTGCTCCAGCCCGTCGCTGTCAGCCCAAGGCGGCTGGTGGTTCGGGTCACACAGGAGCCGGATAACGGAGACTCCCATCAGTGGGGTTCTCCTGTACATCGGGACACATTGTGCGCACCACGGATATAGACATTTGTGGCTAGGGAAACTCACGTTCACTTTAAACCTGGGGAAACGCGGATTGTTATGGGTGATTTTGGGGGGTTTACACGGAAGATCCGGATCCCTGGTGATCCGGTTTAGCGCGGCTAGGGCCGCCTGGTGCTCTGTCTGGGGGCGCCCGAGGCATTGCCGTGACCCGGGCTCGGTGCCATGGCCGCATGCCCGGAGCGCGCCCTGCCGCGCCGCTTTGTGTCCAGACCTGTGCGCGGCTCGTGCGGGCAAATCCGGAGACATCTCGGGTTCCGCGCGGCTCCGTCCCCTCCCCGCTCGCCAGCCTTTGTCTCCCTCCGCCCCCTCCGCCCGCTCCAGTTCCAGCCGGAGCGCGTCTAAGCCCGGCTGCGGCTGCCCCGGGGAGCGGAGCCGCGAGCGCAGCGGAGGACGGGGGAACCCCCCAGCTGGAGCCGGGGCGCCAGGAGAGCTTCCAGCCAAGCCTTTCCCCCCGCCTGCGGCCCAGCCGCCGGGACAATGCCGGGAGGGGCTTTGGCTCAGGTAGGAGATTTGACAATCAACTTCCCTTGTGTGGCTATGGAGCGGGGGGGGGGGCGATGCGCAGCGCTGCGCTCGCTGCCCGACGGGGGCCTTTACCCCCTGCACCAGGTGCACCAGGGATGCGTGCAGACATGTCCGGAGTGCCCGCAGCATGGTACCCTGATGCACACGCTGGCTGGCTGGCTGCTGGCTGGCTGCAGATATGGCTCTTATGGCCACAGCATCTGAGCCATCTCCCCAGCTGTGTAACTAAAGAAGTGACAGTAACAATTTCTTCCTTCCTTCCTAGCCGATGGAGGGGGGGGAAGAGCTTGATTTATTTAATTGGGGGTGTATGTGTGTGTGTGCGGGGGCGTGTATGTGTGTGTGTTTGTGCATATGTTTGTTTATGTGAAGAACTTCTTAGGGGACAAATAATGGAACAGTTCTAAAGCTACCAGCAGGATTTGAACCTAGGTGCTTCAGAACCAAAATAGGGGAGGGGAGGCCACTACTTGAGCCGAAGGGGCAGCACTATTAGATGGTAGCAGTAGCAGGCTATTATCCTCTATGCAAACCCACCCCTAGCAGGAGAGGCAGCACACTTCTTAAGCATATTGCATTAGGACGTGGTATGAGTTTTGTATGGGGTATGCACTGGGGCAGAAGATTGGTGCATACTCAGTACAAGAGAGGATATCCGATGAATCTACAAGACACTGGGAGAGAGTGCTGAGTAGGTGTGCAACGCAACTGGGAGAATTATAATTCACTGGGTCCCTGTGAACCAAAAAGGCTGGAAACAGAAAAAGGGAGGCAGCCAAATAGGAATAATCAGTCTGTGAAAGCAAAAGATAAGGGCAGGAGAAAGTCAGGATGACCTTGCGACGGCTGTCTGGGGGTTGTCTCTGGAGCTGAGTTAATAACTGGGTTTTTGAGTCAGGGGCCAAACCCAAACAGCCAGAAAAAACTCCGGTTGGCTTCACACCCAAACTGAATTTTAAAAAAATGTTCTCAGCAGAATGAACAAACACAAACATTTCATCTGGGTCCAACTAAAGATTTCAAATGTCGATTGGAAACAACATTTGGTCTGGAAAAAGTCATTTCAGAACAAACTCGCCAAACGCTTCAAAATGTTTTGCCATTTCTGAAATGTTCATTTTGGTTTTTTGTCCAAAACTATTCATTGATTTTGACCCACATTCACAAATCGTTTCGGTGCCCGGAAAAATGCCTTTTCCAGCAAATTCACTGTTTGCTAAAAATATTGTCTGCCAGCACCTCTTGTGCCAAGCAGAGAGGGGACCTCCAAGCCATCCTGCACTTCGGAATGGCCTGGACCCATCTGAGTAGGACACCCCATCACAGGAGCTAAGAGGAATAAGAAGGACTTTGAAAATTGTGGTGATTTGGGGTAACAAAAAAACGCTATAGGAAAAGGTCAGGCTGGGAGTGAATGTAGGGGATGAAATCAACGAGGGCTCTACAATGGCTCGACTAATAACGTGCTGCTTAAATCTGGCCATGGGTAAGAAAATTACCAAAGAGGAGGTGTGCTCGCCTAGGCTGGAGCTGTGGATGGACAGCAGGAGATGGGATACATGCAAAGAACCAGAATATATACAAAGCAGCTCATCCAGATAACCGGCATTGTAAGGCTTAAAAGGAATCCGCTAATGACCCTGGAGGCTGAGCAGACAGGAAGAAGGTAGATCGTGGCGTGTGGAAAAAGAGAGAAATCCTAGCAATCGCTGTGTGGTTTGTCACACTTTAATCTCTAGCAATGTCTATCAATATACGGATAGATATTGATGGTAGCCTAGAGGCTGCAGTCAAGATCCGGGCCTAGGGTGACCAGACAGCAAATGTGAAAAATCGGGACAAGGGGTGGGAGGTAATAGGAACCTATATAAGAAAAAGACCCAAAAATCGGGACTGTCCCTATAAAATTGGGACATCTGGACATCCTATCCGGGCCCCATTATGCTAGGCCCTGTACAGACAGGTGGCAAGAGATGGTCCCCTCCACTGGAGGTTACAGTCTAAATAGACAACGGGTGGGAGGGGAAACAGAGAGGAGGTGTTTTGCCCAAGGTCACGCACCGTGCTGCCAGGAATAGAACCCAAATCTCCTTCGTCTCAGTCCAGTTCTCTCCCACTAGATTACACTACCTTTCATCACCGGAAGGAATATTAAGAGTTAAAAACCCTGTAAGCAACTGGAGGCTGGCGGAACCATGAGCAATAAGCAGCGAGGGCTAATAAAGAACCAATCACGCCAGACGAATGTTATTGCTTTTATTCTGATGAACTCACAAAAGTAGTGGCTGTGGGGAGATCAGCAGCAGCAATGGAATTAGACACTAAGGGAGCCTAAGTGCAGGGTGTCACGAAATCTTAATTTTTCCGCTAATAGGCACTGGTTTGGACACCACCACTGGGGTATGGGTTGGAACCTGGGGGCGCGGTGGAGTGGGGTTATAAACGGAAGTGAAGGGGAATGAGTAACAATGCCGGGTGGAGCTGGAGAGAGATACCCAGGAGGGTTTTGCTGGGCTTGATTTTAGGCTGGGTTTTAGTTACTGTGTGTTTCATGATCTGGAAAAAGAGGGGACCGGCCCACGAATTGCATGCACCAATGGCACTGCAATGGGAAGCCTTTTCAATGCCAGGGAGGACAGGGGAGGATATGAAGGGGCCTAGAGAGGTTGGAAGGCTGGGCTGGAACGCCACAACTGCCAGGGACGAGTGGTGACTGAAGCAGCAGGTGCTGAGGGTATGGTGCTTGTTATTGCAGGTCCCGGTGACGTTCGATGACGTCGCCATCTATTTCTCCCGGGAGGAGTGGGAGATGCTGGCAGACTGGCAGAAGGAGCTGTACCAGGAGGTGATGAGGGAGAATTATGCAAATCTGATTTCTCTGGGTAAGGATCAGCCTTCATTGTTTTACCGGGTGCAGCAGGATCATTGAAATCCCTGGGCTGTCTTTAGTCTATTATTATTTATTGGTTTTATAGTAACCCCTAGGGGCAACCAGTCCAGGATCAGAGCCCCACAGTGCCAGGTGCTGTACACATTGGCTTTAAAAAGCTCGTCCTTGTTCCAGGGAGCTCCCGGTCCTAGGATAAGTCTTACCTAGTAAGCATGCAATGGCCCAGATCATCAGCTGATGCAAATGTCCGTAGTTCCATTGAAGTCAATAGCGCTATACTGACTGACACCAGCTACAGATCCGACCCCTGACGTGACATCGCTGGGGAAAGCCAGTGTGCTCCTGGGGGACAGTCACAGACGACCACCCCCTGGTGACACTGCACCCCATGCTGCTCCAGCCTTGACCCTCAAACCTCTTGCATGTGGGAAACACAAGCCTTTCTAATGCTGCTGTCACTGACGTGAGCCTCCGGCACCTTCCCAGCCCCCACAGAGGCTTCCTGTCTGAGCCCCACTTGGTAAAACAGGAAGCAACGTTCTTGGAACTGCTCCGCAGCAAAGCAGGACACGGAAAGCGACACGCGCATTCCCAGCGGTCCTCAGTGCAGCTCTGCTATCAGTGGAATGCGTCATCACGAGCAGAAGCAGGTCATTGCTCAGTTTCCCTGAATGGAGGGAGAGAAATTCGCCCCTGTGCAGAGGGCCAGCCCATGGCTGAAGCACCAGACACGTCCCCCTCATGGTAGGGGAGTGGACCCTATAGACCAGCAAATCAGGAGGAGGAGGTATTTTTAGAACAAATAGGAAAAGCACCCAAAGGACAAATCCCGGTGGTAATGGGGGAATGTAACTCCACAGAGAGGTGTAGCCTATTTGGGAAATTGCTCATTATTTTGTTGAGTTTCTCTTTCCTATCCGTGTTTATCTCCCTCCCTCCGAATCCGGTGTAGTACACCAGCTGAAGTCAGGGCCGAGAATCACACCCACAGATTGTGTTGTTCTGTGACATCACATATACGCGCACAGTCACTGGTGTATCCATTTGCTGTCAGGGCTGAGAGCAGTTTTTCCGTTAAATATTTTTTGAAAAGCAATAATAATCCTGACACATAAATAACTTGAATAGGATGTTTCAAAGTTCTAAAATCGGTGCTTAGAGACCAATATGGCTGCCTCAGGAGCTCTTTAATGACCTGAAAATCAAAAAGGACTTGCACAAAAAGAGGAAACATGGACAAAAAAGCAAACAGAATGTTGGGAGCCATTAAGAAAGGGATAGAATAAGACAGAAAATATCATATTCCCTCTATATAAATCCATGGTACACCCACACAGCTTCAATACTGTGTGCAGATGTGGTCGCCCCATCTCAAAAAAGATGTATTGGAATTGGAAAAGGTTCAGAAAAGGGCAACAAAAATGATTGGGGGTATAGAACGGCTTCTGTATGAGGAGAGATTAATAAGACTGGGACTTTTCAGCTTGGAAAAGAGACGACTAAGGGGAGATATGATAGAGGTCTATGATATCATGACTGGTGTGGAGAAAGTAAATAAGGAAGTGTTATTTACTCCTTCTCATAACACAAGAACTAGGGGCCACCAAATGAAATTAATAGGCAGCAGGTTTAAAACAAACAAAAGGAAGTATTTTTTCACACAACGCATAGTCAGTCTGTGGAACTCATTGCCAGAGGATGTTGTGAAGGCCAAGACTACTACAGGATTCAAAAAAGAACTAGATAAGTTCATGGAGGATAGGTCCATCAATGGCTATTAGCCAGGTTGGGCAGGGAAGGTGTCCCTAGATTCTGTTTGCCAGAAGCTGGGAATGGGCGATAGGGGATGGATCACTTGATGATGACCTGTTCTGTTCATTCCCTCTGGGGCACCTGGCATTAGCCACTGTCGGTAGACAGGATACTGGGCTAGATGGACCTTTGGTCTGACCCAGTATGGCCATTCTTATGTTCTTATAACTCTCCAAACACTGGGGGCCAGACTCATTCCCGATGTTCAGGGAAGCCAGTGGAGCTACTCCAAGGATACATGTGAGTCTAGGATTTCCCTTCAGTTTATCCAAGAGATGGTTAAGAGATGCCTAGATCACAATCTCTGAGTACCTACATGGAGAAGAGATTTTTGATAGTAGATTCCTCTTTAACCTAGCAGACAAATGCCGAATGGTAGGTGAAGCAAGAGAAGTTAGGTTATAAATAAGTCACACATTTTGTAACAGGCCGGGTAATTAACTATTGGAATAATAACTATTGGAATAGGGATGTGATCATTTCACCATCACCTGAAGGCTTTAAATCAAGACTGGATGTCATGCTTAAAAACATGCGTTAGCTGGCCCAGAAGTTTTGGTCTGGATGTAGAAATCACTGGGTGAAATTTTCTGGAGGAGGTCAGACTGGAAGATGGGCATGGTCCCTTCTGGCCTTAAAAATCTATGAATTGTTACCACCATCCCATCCATAAGTAATGCCTGAACTCTTTTCTCCATCCAGCAGGGGACTGGCCCAGGCAGAGAAGCAAGAAGGAAAATGAGGAGGAATGTGCTGAAAAGTTGGAAGCCCCGGAGCTGCCGACTGGAAACAGCTCGGCCAACGGCTCAGAGAAGGCAAAGAACTGCAGCACTCAGAGCGTCCGTGTCCCAGAGCCAAGCAGCGAGGAAGGCGGCTGGCTGAGGCAGCCGGTTGAAGGTGGAAGAGGGAACAGCCATTGCACGTGGCCCAGTGGGAACCAGGCACCCAAGAAAAGGGCAAGACCACACAAATGCGACGAGTGCTGGAAAAGCTTCACCTGGAGATCGGAGCTGGTTCAGCACCGCAGGACCCACACTGGGGAGCGGCCGTATAAGTGCGCTGAGTGCGGGAAGGGCTTCAGCCAGCACGTCAACCTGACCATCCACCAGCGTATCCACACCGGCGAGCGGCCCTACCGGTGTGGCGAGTGTGGGAGGGGCTTTACCCAGCATATCAACCTGACCCTCCACCAGAGAATCCACACTGGGGAGCGCCCGTACCAGTGCGGTGAGTGCGGGAAAAACTTCATCCGCAAATCCAACCTGGCCAAGCACCAGAAGATCCACACGGGCGAGAAGCCCTTCCAGTGTGCTCAGTGTGGGAAGAGCTTTGTGCACAAGTCCGGCCTGGTGTCGCACCACAGGACCCACACGGGGGAGCGGCCGCACCAGTGTGAGGCATGCGGGAAGCGCTTCGGCCACAAGTCGGGCCTGCTTTCGCACCGGAAGACCCACACGGGTGAGCGGCCCCACCAGTGTGCCCAGTGCGGGAAGAGGTTCCGGCACAAGTCAGGCGTGGCCTCACACCAGAGCACCCACACGGGTGAGCGGCCTCACCAGTGCTCCCAGTGCGGCAAGCGGTTCTCCCGCACCTATGAGCTCATCTCCCACCAGCGCCTGCACACAGGGGAGCGGCCCTACCCATGTGCCGACTGCGACAAGAGCTTTGTGCGCAAATCCAACCTGGTGAAGCACCAGCGCGTGCACACGGGGGAGCGGCCCTACCAGTGCGGCCAGTGCGAGAGGAGCTTCTCCCAGAGGTATGAGCTGGTGGCTCACCAGATCACCCACACTGGGGAGAGCCCCTATACCTGTGCCCAGTGCGGGAAGATCTTCAGCCAGAAGTCGAACCTCGTGAAGCACGAGCGCATCCACACTGGCGAGAGTCCCTTCCCCTGCACCCAGTGCGGGAAGAGCTTCAGCCAACGTGCCAACCTGGTGAAACACCAGCGGATCCACACCGGGGAGCGGCCGTTCCAGTGCGCCCACTGCGGGAAGAGCTTCAGCCAGAAGTGCGAGCTCGTGTCGCACGAGCGGATCCACACCGGGGAGCGGCCGTTCCAGTGCGCTCACTGCGGGAAGAGCTTCAGCCAGAAGACGAGTCTGATCGCTCATCAGAGGATCCACGTGGGTCAGCGACTGAGTGAATGTGCCTAGGGCGATGCTCTCCCGTCCAGCTCTGTCTGGCACTCCGGCTGATGCCAATGGGGGGCTGACGTGCAGATCGAGGGAGGTGCATGGCTCTGGGTATGGATCCATCAGTAAATATCTTCTCACTTACTGGGGAGCAAACAAGGGAGGAATTGGGGCTCTCAAGCTGGAGATTTCCAAACACGTCCCAGAAAGAGTTTAAACAGCTCCTTGAATTGCCCTCGTCAGGAGAGGGGGGATATTTCAAACCTGCCTTCCGGTTAACACAGAGACCGTGTTAGACTTTCTAAGGCTCGGCAGGTCAGGAAACAGCATGTAATTGTCGAGAAGTCCAGAAAACATCTGGCAAAGCAGGAACCATGTTGAACAGCAGAGCGTTCCCTCAGGAGAAGAGGGGGCAAGCTTGGAAGACGCAGGGCTGATTCAAACCTTGGGTTTTCCAAATGCCTGATGATGAACCTTCTGAGCTTGACTGACCCTCAGGAAGACTGTAGGATGTGGGTATGGCATGGTAGACCCCTCAGCAGTACCCTCAACTAGCCAATGGGAACATGGAGGGCTGGAAGGGGTGGAGAATGATTAATGGGGTATGAAGAACAGCTGGTCAAATAATATTCAGCAAATATATGATTTGGTTCTTGTTGAGCAATGAATCAAAGAAATAACTTTTTGAAGTGTTCATTCAGCTGTTGAAAACTGTTCCTCAAAGAAATTATTTGGGGCCAGGTTCACAAAGGTGTTTAGGTGTGTAAAGATGCCGATAGGTGCTGTTGTCAATCTCACTAGCACAGGGGTTCTCAAACTGGGGGTCGGGACCCCTCAGGGGGTCACAAGGTTATTACATGGGGGTTGCAAGCTGTCAACCTTCACCCCAAACCCCGCTTTGCCTCCAGCATTTATAATGGTGGTAAATATATTAAAAAGTGTTTTTAATTTATAAGGGGGGTTGCACTCAGAGGCTTGCTCTGTGAAAGGGATCACCAGTAAAAAAGTTTGAGAACCACTGCACTAGCACCTAAGTGAGTCAGGCACCCCACTCCCCTTGACTCTCAGTGGTATCTCTGGCCCAGGTCCTCAAAAGTAGTTACGTACCTAACTCCCAGTGGGAGTTATACTTGGAGGATCTGGCTGGAGGCACCTAACCTGCTTAGGAGCTTTTGAAAATTCTCATAGGCGCTTAGCTGCATCTCTAGACACCGAAATGCTTTTGCAAATCTGGCTGTTGACCAAGAACAGCAAAGGCCAGTGAGTAATGCTGAATCCGTTTTTCTGTTCTTCTCACAGACCCAGATCTATTTCTGTGTGGCAGGTTTAAATGCATCCTGATGCGTGGGCGATCAAAAGCCATTATTCTTGATGCTTTTTCAGTGGCGAGTAAGAAATAATGTCAAAACTATCCCAATAATAGTTATTTCCTGGACGCTGAATTGATTAAACTTATCCCAAACTACTTCAAATAGATGAACCCGTTCTTTCAAAAACATCAGTGAAGGAGAACACTGCCCTGCTTATGTGGAAATATACATGCTATGACATGGCGAAGATCATGAAACCGTGTGCTCCGATAGCCTTCTCTCCAGTGCAGTCCCCACACATCACCCAGTAACCGAGAGACTCTTTTCAGAACCATTGATTTAAATGAACATTATCAACCGGATTTAAACTGGTGTCTTCTTTAACCCAAGGAGGAAGTTACGTTTATCCAGACAGATCAGAAGAAAATATAACACAGTGGCCTCAAACTTGTAAAACTGCCTCTCAGGCTGCGCTCCTCATGCGTGATCCGACGCACTTCTTTAATGAATGCTGTTTCCTTTTTGTTTATGCACTGATCTAATTGTTTCCATTATGTACCATATCAAAATTATATATATGGAGATATGCCTATCTCATAGAGCTGGAAGGGACCCTGAAAGGTCATGGAGTCCACCCCCCTGCCTTCACTAGCAGGACCAAGTACTGATTTTGCCCCAGATCCCTAAGTGGCCCCTGGGTTTAGCAGGCCAATGCTCAAACCACTGAGCTATCCCTCCCCCCATTTTAATAGGTGCCTTTTTAAAGCACAACATGTAGTTCAAAGGTAGGAAAATTCTTCATGGTCTTTGACTCATTGCCTTTTTTTGGTCTGCTTTATGTTTTGCTTCCTGTAGTGTAACTTCCATGTCTTGCTGCATGCACAGAGGCCTGGGAGTGGAGCAGGGAGTTGGCTTGGTTTGAACTCCGCAGTCCTTATTGCCCAGGGGTTTGGGTTATAATTTGGGTATGATTCTGTAAGTGCTCCGTGCGCGGGAGTCTGGTTGACTCCAAAGACAGTTCTATGATTGGAATGCTCATGGGACTGGGGACTGGGGTTTCAATTCATCTTGGCCATGGATGGCTCCCACCTCTACGTCGCCTTCTCATCTGACATGAATGCTGGTTTTTCGGTTACGTCAGAACGGAGAGCTGGGCAAGGAGCAGCCGGCTAAAGCTCAGTCCAGACAAGGCACAGAGGTGATGCAAGTCAGGGCCGGCTCTAGGTTTTTTGCTGCCCCAAGCAAAAAA